TTTAGTTTTGAAATAACCATACAGTTATTTGCATAGTTTTGTAGTAGTGTAGGAATTGGGTAAAGTTTTAAACTTTATGGTTATTTTGTAATAACTGTAAGGTTAACTTTATTTCCTGTAACTGTTTTGCTATATTATTATATGATAACTCCCTTCTATAGTTTTATGCTATATTTTTGGGATGTTACAAGAATTGATAACGTAAACTCGTCCGAGTTAACTAGTTAACTCGCGAGTTTGATAACCTTTAGTGTATGTACGTTAATGTAATATTTGAATTTAATATATAGTTTGATGTACAAATTATGAATTAAATATTATTAGACAATTCAATGTTTAAAATGAATTTCATTTTGTTAGTTCCATTGAATCTATTCATTTCACGCTATATTGATTATAAATTGACTATATGAGATGATAATACAAAAAATTGATTGTAAATTGATTAGAAACAAGTTTTTATGACGAACATGACAATATATGTAATAATAGGTTATTTCTGTAAAAACATATATTATGACAGGTGAATAATTAGTTGTCATAATGTATTCGACATATTATGATAGGTGAAAAGATCTACGTCATAAAACACTACATATTATGATACGTAATTGAACATCAATCTCATTCAAAACTAATTTTTACATTATAATTAAGGTTGGGCATAATTAGCCTAATTGTACCAAACTATATCTGTATTATAAGAACTAAACTATTTTTATTAAAAATTGATTATACTAGCGGTTCAATTTGAAAAACTGGACTTTTCTATTAGTAGCTAATTGCGTTAAACTATAAACCATACAACAGTGACTAAAGTAAACTGCAATTTCACTTGGCATCGTACACATACAAAGAAACTATCTATTCTTGCTTATTTTATAACACTCAAAACTTAAATAAACATTAATAAAAAAAAACCTTAGTCAAAATCTATCCATGTATAAATTTCAATAATATAATATTTTCCAGTAAAAATAAATACTTAAATGAAAAATAATAATAAATTAGTATGATATATAATTAAGAAAAGTAGGATATAAAAATATAAATTAATATAACTAAGTTGCATGTTTTATGAGAAAAAAATAATAGGTTAAATATGTTTTTAGTCATTTAACTATCAAGCGATTTTATTTTTCGTCCCTCTTTCAAACTTTGGTACACTTTAATCATTGTCCTTAAAGAAACTATAAATTTTCTCCCTCCAAAACCAACGCCATTAAAATTACGCTGAGTTGGCTAACATTGTCTTTTTCTTTTTCTGACACAAAGTCAATTTTTCCTACTTTTCTTCCTCCCTCTCCCTCTGTCTCCTTCCTTGCATCACGTCGAGCTTCTTCCACTCTTCTTGTTGCACTATCTCTAAACTCATCTGAGTGGTTGAGTCAGACTTTCTGTGAGTGTGGTCTGTTCTACTCCTTTCCACCACTCAGCTCAAAATTATATAATACAATGGAAAAAGACGAAAAAGAAAGCAAAAGACCCACACACAGTCACTGTTGAAGCAGATGAACAAATACTGGGAGAAGAACTTGTATTGAAAAGGAAATCAAGTTTCAGGGTCGGACACACAAACAAAGCCCCACTATCTCCGACATTTATGAAATCCTTTTCCTAGTTGCAGAGAAAAAAGAACAAGACAATTTGCTACGTGGGGAAAGCAACAAAGATCTTCCTTTTCATAGTCACAATGCTCGTTGTTCTAGGTCTGGTTTTGGGATTGGGGATCCTACGCTGCCGCCACCACACAACTGCAAATGAATGTTCTGATGGGTCTTGCTTACGTCTACCTCCACCTGCAATCTTCGCCCCCAATTTCAATTCACCAACCTCACCTCCCTTCTTTCAATACCCCCTACCCCACCAACCATTATGGTTACAAATCCAACCCTCCTCCTCCTTACGACGCTAACCCATCTTCGCCGTTGTCGCCAATGCAACAGTCGCCGCCACCGCCGGAGGAAACTGCCCCTCCAAATCCTCCAAGTGTGGCAGGGCCACTTATCAATACACCTACACCAGGGTCAGCGCTGGTGGCACAAGCTCCTGCTCATGTTTTTGTGTAGTTATGTATTTGCAGTTTTCAGACAATTTGGTCAAAGAGGAAAATTGGTATCGGTTAGAACTTGGTTTTGACAGCAATGTTACTGCCTCTGATTTTGTCGAGAATCTAAATGACTTTTGAGCCTAGAGAAAGGTATAACTGCCTCCATAATGAGAAGTTGTTTGATTGCAAGAAGTTTCGTGATTTGCAATAATATATGTGTATATACGAAGCTAGCTGTGGCATAATTATGCATATTTTTTGCTATGGCTATATCATAATTTGTGGTGCAGACAAGGAGGGGAGGTGTGCGACTGTGAGTTGCAAGGGGTTTGATGAACAAGAAGAGCGGAAGAAGCTCAACGTCATATGCAAGGAGGGAGAGGGAGGGGGAGAAGTAGGAAAAATTGACTGTGTCAGAAAAAGAAAAAATGAGGTGGCACACTGTTAGCCAACTCAGCGTGATTTTAACGACGTTGGTTTTGGAAGACGAAAAATTATAGTTTCTTTAAGGACAATGATAAGTGTCACAAATTAGATATATTGAGCACTTATTTTAATCTCCTTTGATGTGTTTTAGAGTAAAATCTCATGGAAAGTTGTATAAAATGTATATATGATTGATTTTATATCAATATGAGTGTTTTTTGTGTGTTATTTTGCAGATGAATAAGGATTGGAGAAGAGAAAGAAGTCCCTGAAATTTCACTGTTACTATTCATCGAGCACTATTCATCGGGCACTATTCATCCGTTGACCGTCACTATTCACTATTTAAAATTTGATTTTTTTTTACTATTCACGCGTGGACCAGTCGCCCAGCCGGAGAGAGCCACTCGCCCAAGCGAGCCAGTCGCCCAGCGAGCCAGTCGCCCAACGACTAGGACCGGCTCGCCCAGCGAGTGGTCACTTTTGACCACTCGCCCATGCTTTTAGCCACTCGCCCAGCGAGTTGGCCTTGCTCGCCCAGCGAGCTGGTGCTATTCGCCCAGCGAGCTGGTGCTGTTCGCCCAGCGAGATGGTGCTGCTCGCCCAACGAAAAATCACTTATGCCTCTTCTCTTTAAAAACGCGAACTAGAGGCAGAGGAAGCCAGTTCTGGACGGAGGGGACTCTGCAGCAGCTCCCAGCTCGAGTTTGGAGGCTTCCAAGACGCAGGAACACCATTTCTCACCATCCAATCCATCCGTTTTCTTCTTTCTTGCTTCCGTGATGTCTAGGAGTAGCTAAAACTCCATTTCATTGGGGTTGAAAGTAATGTATCAAAACTCTATGTAAACTTTCTGTTTTATGCTTAATCCTTTATGAATCTTTTGTTTTATGCTTGTTATTCATGCTTAATGATGGAAATCTGAGCTATTAGAGTGATTTGAATCATTGGGAAATGCTAGGATCACGGACATAGGTAGAACAACCGGTAGAACTTAATTGTAGACATAGATTGAGGACTTTTGGGCATCAATAACATCGGTCTTAATGCAAATCTGAATTCTAAGGGATTAGAATTTCTGTTAAAAGATTTAGAGCTTGTCATCCGAGGAATTAGAGACTTGTCTACTTATGATGTTGATGCATGATTCTTGAGGAATTGTATTTGATAGTAAAGAATACTGAGTTTTGAACATGAAAATCAACCCCAATGAACCTAAACTCGACTGTTTTTACCACTTTGTATATTTGTATTTTTATCTGTATTGTGTAGAATAATACATTTGATAATCATATTTGACGCTAAATTAGTAAACTTTCACGATTAGCAAACCAAAAAAATCTCTTGGGAAACGATATCCGGACTTACCGGTTTATTACTTGTACGATTCGGTACACTTGTCGAACCATCAACAAGTTTTTGGCGCCGTTGCCGGGGATTTGTTTTTATTTTTGCCTATTGTGTGTTGTTTATCTGGTTTAGTTGATTTTAGTTATCTTTTTGTTTTCTTATTATTGTGATATATTTGAATTTTTGTGCATAATTGTTGTCATCTGTAGAAATTGTGTTTTTCTAGTTTGTGTTTTGTATGAGAAGCAGAGAACAGGTTGAAAATCTGCTTTTTGATCCGGAAATTGAAAGAATTGCTAGAAGGAATAACAGTAGAAGGAGGAGACAAAGCAGAGAAGCCATAGAAACATCTGTTATTTCTGAAGAAATTCTGGACTCATCATCTGGTCAAGAAAAGGAAACAATGGAAGGTACTCACAATGGAGAAGGTTCTGGGCAAGGAAGACGTACTCTTGCAGATTATAATACTTTCTCGGGACCTTTGCACTTCAACAGTATCGCAAGACCAGTGGTTAATGCTACTAACATGGAGATGAAGCCAGCTCTTATTCATTTGGTGCAGAATAATCAGTTCCATGGATTGTCCCACGAGAATCCATACACTCACTTTGCTACTTTCATGGAGATCTGTAATACAGTGAGGATTCACCAGGTTCCAGATGAAGCAATCCGACTCAGCTTATTTCCATTCTCATTGGCTGGTAATGCAAAGATGTGGCTGAATTCCTTTCTAGAGAATATTCTGATATTCTGGGATGATGTAATTGCCAAGTTTCTGAACAAATTCTTCCCTCAATCCAATGTCAATAAGGGAAAGCAGGAAATCTCTTCTTTTCAGCAGGATATTGATGAAGCTCTAGGTCAAGCATGGGATAGATTCAAAGGCCTACTGAGAAAAACCCCTACTCATGGATTTGATGAGCCTACACTGCTAAATCTGTTTCTTGGAGGGCTGAAATCTCAAACAAAGTTAATGTTAGATGCCTCAGCTGGAGGTAATATCAGATGGAAGACGCCTGAGGAAGCACATGAACTCATTGAAAACATGGCTGCAAATGATAATGAAGTTCAGAGTGAAAGAGGTCAATTTCAACAGAAAGGTGTTCTTCAACTTCAATCTCAAGATGCCTTGCTAGCCCAGAACAAGATTATGACTCAGTAACTTGAGACATTAATGAAGAAGTTATCTCAGCTACCTAAAGAGCTCCAGAATGTTTCTCAAGCCCAACATCAGATGATTCAATGTTGTGAATTATGCGGTGGAGATCACAAGAATGGTCAATGTGTACTACAAAGCATGTCTCATGAAGAAGTGAATTATATGGGAAATCAAGGTCGCCAAATGGATTTTAATCAAGGTCAAAATTTTAATCAAGGCTGGAGACCTCATTCGAGTATGGGACAAGCTGGTTCGTCCAATAGACCACCTCCACATAACTTTCATCAATATCCTACTTTGACAGAAAGAACTTCAAAACTGGAAGAAACTCTTCAGCAGTTTATGCAAGTATCAATCTCCAACCATAAAAGTACAGAAGCCTCAATTCGTAATTTGGAGATTCAAGTGGGTCAATTAGCTAAGAATTTGGAAGAAAAATCTGAGAAGAAATTTGTGGCTAACACTGAAGTTAATCCAAGGGAGGAGTGTAAAGCCATCACTACAAGGTCAGGAAGGGTGTTAGAAGAAAGAGGGCATGAGAGAAAAGAGCAAGAAAGAGATGAGGGGAGTGCTGAGAAGAGAGAAAATAAGAGAGATGAGATGAGTGAAAGGGAAGAAAAAGAAAAAGAGAGAGAGGACAGAGAAAATCATAGAGAGAAAGAGGAAGAGAAAATGAAAGCAAAGGTGTTTGAGAAACCTCTTCCATATCCAAAGGTTTTCTCTAAAAAGGAGAAGGAAAGGCAGTTCAAAAGCTTCGTTGATATCTTCAAAAAGTTAGAAATCAAGATGTCATTCTCAGAGGCCCTGCAACAAATACCCTCTCATTCTAAGTTCATGAAAGAATTGCTTACTAAGAAGAAGAAGTACATTGAAGAAGAAACTATTGAAGTACAGGGTCAGTGCAGTGCAATTATCCAGAAGTTGCTTCCACCAAAGTTTAAAGATCCTGGCAGCTTTACAATTCCATGCAACATAGGAAAGTTGGCTGTTGGAAAGGCTTTAATTGATCTAGGAGCCAACATAAATCTGATGCCCCTTTCTATGTTTGAGAAAATAAGGGATCTGGAGATGAAATCTACACGCATGACTCTACAATTGGCAGATCGATCAATCAAGTATCCTTATGGAGTGGTAGAGGATGTGCTCATAAAG